ATGTTCTGCTCTGTGTTTCTGAATATGAGCGACTTTTCCTTTAAAAATACTCCAATAAACCTAATTTCTTTATCCTCTACCCTTGAAGTCACCCTGTACTTCACTCTCATTGTAACATCTTTTTAATGCATCATTTCTGTTTCTTGTTTTTAAGTTTGCAATTAAATAAAAAAATAAGAAATCACACAGAACACCAATGTTGGTTTAAATCAAATAGATTTATAACACTGATTAGAGTCCTTTGAACAATCCATTCCAGGGTCACAGGAGCGATCTGCTAAAATCAACCTACACTTTCATTAAAATAGGGACAATATACGACATACAGTGTCTGACTAAATCTCTTTACATCCATTCAAAGAGCCGTTAGTGTAGCTTAACAAGGCGTCACGTTGTTTTAAGTACGAGCCAGAGTCAGGGAACTGCTTCTCCTGCACCCGTCTGCAAACCACACACCAAGGGGAAAGAAAACTGGGAGTAGGCACTTCTGTTCCACCATTTTCCTCTTTTCTTCAGCCAGGCCCGGCCGCTACCACGCACGCTTCACTCAACTCAAGAGCATTGTTTGAAAATAAGTTAATTCACAAAGCCATCCGAGATCACCGTGACAAGAGGGACGCCTTCCGGAAGATGGCCAGAGAAGATCCTACAGGACAACATGGTTCATTCTAGATCCGTTATCCTTTAGGTAACTAAACAAATGTCACCATGGGGTTATCTGAGGACAGGATTTTCACATGCACAGAAGCAGACATGGCCACTCCCCGTAAAAGATCTACTCACAGTACGATTCTGGTATCTAAACTCTTTGGGTTCCCTGCTGCAGGCGTTTTAAGATTGGCCACGTCGCATACGCTCCTCATCAACCCCATAGTGTCGTGGTAAAGTTTGCTTCTGTCTCTATTGTTACTCATGCACTACACTGCAGGGATTTTTCAACATTGCATCATAAATAGGTTAAATGCAAACAGGTTGGGCTGTGCGAGCTTCCAAGTCGGCTTCCTGGAGTCAATTGAAGATTCTATGCAGAACGCCGGCCATGGTTAGGACTGGCTGGAATGTTGCAGCCAAAACACAATGGAGTCTAGATGTTTGATAAAGCGGACACGTTTGAGAAGTTGTGTCATGGATGCTTCTCTGGGGGAAGCTTGGTGAAAGGAGTACGGATCATTCCAGGATGGCGGTACGGGACAGTGTTCACAGAAGAGTTGGATCAAAATGAGGCAAAAGCTAAATCCACAAAGAAGGAGAAGAGGAAAGCTCCCTTTCTGTTGGTTCTCTCCTTTTTTAGGTCCACTCAAAAGCAGGTGATGTTCAGTTTGGGCCCTTTTTATGCAACATGGTGAAGGCAGAGAAAACACAGAAAGAAAAAAACAAATCACCATTAGTGCTAAATTCTACAGCAAGGTTTTCACGTCCTTCGATTTTTTCCACTTCTCAATCTCTGCGTTTGCCTCTGATTACCCAAAGCAAAGTCCTGAAACAAGCATGATGAGCAAACTTGTGTATCCGCCCTGAATTCAGCCGCCATCGTTCGAATGTCTTCCACGTTCCTTGGAGTTGGCCGGGAGGATGGAGGCGGCGTGCAGAGGTGAGAGCTCGGCAGGTTTCCCTAGCTTACGGCTCCTCCTTTGCACGCTGCTTCTACATGACGCGATGATTTCAGGGCTGTGGCGATGGGGGAGGGGAGAGGGGGGGAAAGGGCGATTGGTCGTGGAGGGTTAGTTGCCGCCGCAGCAGGCTCTGGTGGAGTGGGCGTCCGGGTCCTGGAGGTTCACTCCCCGATGTCGTGCTGCATGCGTCGGGTTCTGGGTGTCTGTTTTTGGCATCTTTTTCGCTAAAGCAAAGTAAATGAAGGTTACAGATTATTAAAACGCTGCACTTTTATTCCAGATTACTAATCTACAGTGTTTAAGGAAGGTATGTATGTGAAGCAAGTGTTAAACATGTGTCTCACCAATAGCCAGGAAAAGCTCATTGACGTTCATGGCCGTCTTGGCAGACGTCTCCATGAAGAGCAGGCCTGTGTCCTCAGCATAAGACTGGGCCTCCTTCATGACAGAGGAGGATAGTTGGTCAGTAAAACCGCCCCTCTGGTCCCCATGAACAGCTTTAATGAATTCAGCCTAATCCCACTTGACCTTCTGCTTAGAAAGGTCTAACTTTGGGGAGAGACACAACCTCTCATCCTTAAAGGAATAGTACACCCAAAACATGACTAGCCTACATTTTCTACTCACCCCCATG